CTGAGAGAGTGGGCACCTCGCAGAACATTGTTTTGTGCCACTCCCAACAGAAATACTCCAGGTGGACACCTTCAGCAATCAGGAGCTCCTCAGTTGCTCATAGAAAATCCCACCTTGGAGTTTACAAAGACTTATGGGTAGAAAAGCCACACTAAGTAATTTACTACACCACAAGGATAACATGCACAGGTACAAGGCTGGGAATTCAACACATATTTTGGGGGAATATAATTTAATCCATAACAGAAAGCAAGGTATTTTTCTATGTCATGGTTAAGAAAGCAAATTTTTTGTTTTTTAAAAATATCTAAAGGCAAATTATAAATCACAGGGTAGCCTCAAAGAAAAATGATAAAACTTCACACCACAATAAAAAAAAAGAGAGAGAAGGGCAAATATTCAGCAAATACTAAAACAATAACAGCAAAGGAAATGATAACATGATTCATAAGCATGATGAGCTCAGCACAGAAAATATTATGGAACAAAGAAACCAGGGACACCATGAAAAAACACATACCAAATGACAGCAACCAATTCATACTTGTCAATAATTACACTGAATGTTAACGGATTAAATACACCACTCAAAAGATGGAGAGTTGCAGACTGGATAAGAAAACATAATCCATCAATATGCTGTCTACAAGAGACACACCTTAGAGATAAAGACAAAAATAGACTAAAAATCAAAGGTTGGAAAAAGATGTATTAAGCAAATGGCAACTGTAAGAGAGCAGGAGTGGCAATATTAATTTCTGATCAAATTGACTTTAAGACAAAAACCACTGTATGAGACAAGGAAGGGCATTATGTAATGACTAAAGAATCAATTGAACAAGAAGATAAAACCATAATAAATATCTATGGACCCAATGAAAGAGCCCCAAAATACATACATCAGACTTTAAAAGAGCAGAAAAGGCAAACAGATGACTCCACAGTCATAGTAGGAGACGTTAATACACTACTTTAATTGAAAGATAGAACAACTGGAAAGAAACTCAACAAAGATGCAGAAGCGCTAAATAATACAATCCACCAACTTGACCTTATAGACATCTACAGAGCACTTCACCCAACAACAGCACAATATACATTCTTTTCCAGAGCACATGGAATATTTTCCATGATAGACCATATGTTAGGCTATAAAGCAAGCCTTAATAAACTTAAAAGCATTGAAATACTGTAAAACATCTTCCAAGGTCATAATGCTATTAAATTAGAAATCAACAATAGGAAGATCAACAGAAAAAGAGTAAACACATGGAAACTGAACAACACTCTCCTTAAGAGAGACTGGGTAAGAAGAGAAATAAAAAATGAAATCAAAAACTCCTTGACTCATGGGAAAAAATATTTGGTAATAACATATCTGACAAGGGACTTATCTCTAGAATTTATAGAACACTCCAACACCTCAATAACAA